ATGGTGCCTCCACAGGTTGACATCTGATCCAACCTAGTAGTAAACAATCCGTCAAAAGCAACCAAAATGTTCCTTGGTGAATCAGGCGAAAACTTGAACTACGTACATACATACTTTTAAAAAAAAGGCAAAGCCAAAAGACATATAAAAACTAGTGCTATTGCGGCTACACCTCTTGATTTGTCATGTATACTACGAAGAATGGCATGGATCGATAGGAAATACCATTCCGGCACAATATGAGGCGGGGTGGGCATCGGATTAGCAGGCATATAATTTTCGGGATGCCCCAAAACATTAGGAGCATAAAAAATCCAATAGATGGAATTAGTGATAGTTGTACCAATTAGAAGAATGAGCAAAGGAAGAAGGAAACATATCAAAGTAACTTCCGGGGGCTATATAGGAGTGGCATAAGACTTCTCAGTGACTTTGGAGAGAAGTCATAGATTGATTGACTCTTGGGGGAAGTCAGGGATTGTATGGAGGTTATGGTTACATAACCATTGCCAGTCTCCTCCCCAAGGACTCCTTGCTTACCTCCCGTAGTAATACAAGGGTTGCCTTCCTCTCTGTCCACCACCAGTATCCTAATGGAAGCCTCATTTTTCTTTCAAAAACTCGTTAACTAGTTAACTCAAAGTAGGAAGTATGATTAGATAATTTGAGAAATAAAACTAGCTTAAAGGGGAAGAAGTATTTCACGGGTGGGGAGCACGACTTTCACTCTCTTTAAACCTTCATATATAGATATTTAGCACGGGTTTCCTACTCTTTAGCGAACACGTCTAGCGTACCGATGATCTAACCAAAGAATTATGTATTTCAGCCTATCTTTTTACCAAGCTGGTGATACAATTATATCGTAAGTCTGGTGCTCTGTTCATTACTTTCTATTTGGAGCAATGTTCATCATCATTACAGCAAGCTTATGGAGGTGTGAAGACCCCTTATACTCTGCTACCAGTTTCGGTATCCTTGACACGATCGGGATATCCTAATTGGTAGAAAACGGCTAGGCCAAGGTAAACCCCCGTCGTGCCGGAATTTTAAAATTAACCCGAAAAGGTTTTTTACACCAATTTAGAATTTTTGTAAAGTATTTTTAGATACGTGAATCGTATTTTAATCTCTACAAAAAAAAATTTAGGAAACTTGAAGACCGCCAGTAGACGCAGTAAAAAGTTTGATGTTTCAAATACCAGTTCGGGTAAGAATCTCTCACCTTATTCTTTGTTATGGAATTGATGCTTAATAATCGATAATATAGTATTTTGTATAATTTACAAAACTTTGAGAATAATTACAGGTTACTAATGGAGTCGATCGGTTAGTCATTTATTTGTTGTCCTGTGTAACTAATTGTTGAATTTACAGTTCTAAATATATGATGATATACTGAAATTGTTGAATGATTTAGTTGTGCTTCCTTGATATATATAATATTTCTCTTATGTGATTTATGGTTGATTTATGAAATTAGAAATTAATATGCAAATAAAAATTGATTGGTCACTTGAATTAATGAATAATAGCCTTACTGAATATCCTGAGAGATGGTAGATGGACCAGGTACATAGGGAACCCTACCGTGAACGTTGACTCATACCGGACGGGGTATTGAGGGATAGTATTTTTGGCACTCATACTGGACGGGGTGTGGAGACGGCCGGTTAGTTGATAATGTTGAATATTGGTTCACGTGTAATAAAACATCTTTATGAGCCCTTATAAATACCAGTTGGCAAATAAAAAAGGAAAGTAATTGTTATTGCTCACTTGAAAATGAGATTTGAATATTATTTAAATTATTGTATCTTTATAGGTCGATTTTGAAAATTCGCAATAGTAAATATATGCAATAAATGATCTTTCTTATAATAAATGAATTTATTTAAATCAAAAGTTTCATTGGTTATTTTTATTATTTTTATCAACCTTCAGTTTCTGTATCAGTGAGTATGTGATATTTTTACTGAGTTAGTATAGTTTACCCTTTCATTAACTATTTCAAATCAAGAGAACCAAGACCTAGATCCCGATCAACAAGAGAGTTGTGAATAGTTCACCACCTGAACTCCCTTTAAAAACTAGTGAAAGTCGTCCTAGAATCCTCAGTATATTATCTTTTATTTATTTCTTTGATTTTCGTTTATTTCTTTAGAATAGATATTTTCGTAATCCTATTGGGTATTCTAAATTATTGTGTAAGGAATGTGAACTCTAAACTCTATTATTTCACTTCCGCATTTGATTCATGATTTTATTTTTTTTTAAGTTTTCGAGGCTTTATAGATGAGAAAATGTGTAATCGTTTATTGTTGGCATGCCCCGCGACATACAACATTTCTTCTATTGTGTTCGAATTGTTATGGTTAAAATTGGGTTATGACTAGTAATGTAAGTAATGAGTTGTGGGCGACGGGGGGTTTTTGTAAAAAGAAAATGCATTTGCTTTTTATTCCACTTATTATTTTTCGGATAGTTTGAAATGAAAGAAATACAAGAACTTTTGAGGGTATAGAAAATGATTTTGTAAATATTAGGAATACATAGATTTACACTTTTGACTCTATTTTATTAAATCGTGACATTAAAAATTGGGAAGACTTTGGGTTAGTAATGGATTATTTGATTGATATGTAACTATTTTATATACGAACAGTATTCTTTTAATATCTACGTGCATAATAATATTTTATTTTATTTTAAAAAAATAATAATAATAGATTCAAAATATAGATTTTTTTTAATTGAATATAATAAGTTATACATTTAACTTAATTAAAAAAAATTTAAACTTCCTAATAACACAAGAAACTTGCAACCTATTGATGAATTTTAGATATTAATTTATGAGATTAATCAATTCTTTGCTTCATGTGGATGGTGATACCAATGATTAATCTATGGTTAATGATGTTATTCTCACAAAAACAAAATATATACATATATATATATAGGTTATCTAGAAATTTGAATTAATTGATTAAATTAACCCAATTAACTTATAGTATTAATAATTTAAAGTAATAATTTGTTCTTAACATCATGTTTAATTATGTATGTATATATATATATAGTGAGTTTTTTTATCTAGGGACTATGGTACATTTTTTGTATATACATATGCATTATATACATAATTTAACTGCTAAATTAACTTGCATATACCCTTGAAAATACTTATAATTACATCAAAAAAGTACATGCATCTTCAATTTCAAAGGGGGAGTTAAACAAGCCAAGGGAATTATATGTACATGATGTGGTTGGTCCAAGCAAAATCATCATCATCATCATGTACCCCATGTCCTCTTGACCATCATCATCATCATCATCATCATCATCATCATCAATGGCACATGGGATTCCACAATTAATAAATTTCATGTAATAAAACCCGAATTATAATATTACATATATATAAATATACATATGTATAGATTTATATTACATTAAAAGACATAACACCACCACAGAAATCAGATATAGCATGTGGCGATCAGTGTCCCACAAAAACATGGCCGTATCATGACCATAAAATAATTATATCATCATGTACGTACCCATGATCCATGCATCATCTCATCATCTTGTCATTCCGTATGATTTCTTATATGCATCACACATACGATGTGCTCTCGTTCTCAAAGCAATATCCACCGTCCGATCATCCCACTCTCTTCTCATCTCTTGATTCAACCGTTGGATGAACCCTCTCTTCTTCCTCTCGCAGTAGTCCAGAAACTCCGCCACAGACCTGGGGTCCTTATCATCCCAACACCCACCACCCAAACCCGGCAACTCACGGCCATGATTACCAAAACCAGCCGCACTGGCTATGTACTCCACCATGCCATTGACCAGCCTCGGCGGAGCTCTGGACTCGCCGTCCCATACCCATATCCGAGCCACGGCTCGTATCAGCGCTGATACGACGGCGTATTGAACGTCAGCTTCTGCCATTACCGACGGGCTCAGACTGATTAAAAAGTCGTCGCTTTTGGTTGCGTGAACCGTAACCTTTTGGGCCATGTAGGTGGTGTTGGGAGCTAGACTGAGGGTGACACGGCGGACTTGCTTCTTGGTTTGGTTGGGATCATATGGAGAAACGTTGTAGAGAATGTTCTCAACGAAGGAGCTGGCGTTGAGTAGAATTCTGGTTACCTTGTCGTTTGATACATAAAAAAGATGGAAGCTTTGAGCGGCTGGAGAGAGTGTAGGGTCGTTGACTATGGCGATTTCGAAGCCTTTTGATGCTTCAAGGCTTGCCCATACAGAGATTAAGGCTATGGAAGTAATCAGAAGTATTCGGAGAATGAAAGCTGAAGTTGACGAGAAATATTTAGTGATGATCTTCTGAGCATCGTCGTCTTCGGAGGTGGCGGTTGTGGCGGTGGAGGAGGTAGTTAAGAGCGGGTGGAGGAGACTTTGGACGTCCATGAAAAGAAAAAAGAAGTATAATAATGCAGAAAATATATGGAGATGGAATTAATAATGAATGTGATGGAGTGGATCTAGATATATATATATATATATATATATGCATATCTAATATATATGTAAGGGCTTCTGATATATATATATATATATATATATATATAAAGTGCATGTTGAATGGGTGGTTACAATTTGCCAACTATTAAGGGGCCCTCATTTGTTGGCTAAAGCTTGCCATGTGAAAATATTTTATGTTTGTTTTTTAGAAAAGAAATCCCAATACTTTCTTGGTACTTTATTTTATTATTGGAAAAAAAGTATAAACAAGTATTATTTGTGGTCATGGGTCATCAATTGTTTGGTTGAATGATAATAGAAGGGTATAGAAAACCAAAAGCAAATGAATTTTGGTTGTCTATGTCAAAGCTCTTAGTATCTTCATGCTAAAGAGGAAGGCACACATTTAAGCCAAAGAGAGCCTCGAAAGGATATGGACATGGGAATTGGATTTTCCTCAATGAAGTGCAGAGTACCAAGAGGATATGGTGAAGGTGTTCAACAAGGTCCTTACTCAGTATTCTTTCATTGTATTTCTATTAAATGACGGGTGCAAGATTTTCAGTCATGTTCGTCAACGTATCTTGTTATTTTGGACTTTAATTTTGAAGTTGTATTCTCACGTGTTTTTCCTTAGTTTGATCCAGACCACTATCATTGATGTTGTTCGTGGAAAAAGTTTTAGAATTTACTATTTAGATTTAAAGTATAAACATGAAGCATACTATAAGATCAACATGCAATTTGAACTTATACATACACAATTAACATTAAAACTTAATCTTTAAATAAATTTTCTTTACTTAATCCACAATCAACTTGTGTTTAGAAGTAATATAATTTAAAAAAAAAATGAATTGATTAAAACACTACAAGAATACCTGAATAAGTTGAAATCAATTCTTGATGCAGCAAGAAGGTTGAAGAAACTGCACAAGTAGCAAGCTTCATCATCGGCTCTGAATTTTTATTGATGATTAAGACTTGAATAAATGAAATTGATTACAATAGGTCTTATTTATAGAGGAAGGTCGTGAGAATCTTAATAAGAACAGAACGCTTGATATAGGACTCTTAATTATCAATTCTAACTAAAAATGCTTATACTTAAGTGGCATAAGGACTCTTGATAAGAAAATACTTCTAGGACTCTTATTTAAATTATAATTTGCACATGTCATATTACACATTAAGAACTCTTTGTTCTTTAGTTGGTCAGCCATGACTTGTAGGATAAAAGAGTGATCGGCAAGGACTCTTTAAGAGGAGTGTGTGGTTGTAGATGAGTTAAAATATGGTCATGATTTTGTGATATAAGAACTCTTATTTTTATGAGATTAAGGTTAAAAACGAACCATGATTTTGTGGGATTAGGATTTTTTTTATTCGGCCATGATAAGATGACTGATTCGAGAGTCTAAGATTTTAAGGACTCTTAATGCTTAGCTTGTAGAAGATTTGGCCGAGAATCCATGATTTATAGGACTCTTAAGCCGAGTGTTTATGACTTGTAGGACTCTCAACCCGAGTGTCCATGACTTATAAGAGATTGATTGGTTGTCTCTTCCAGAGGGTTAATGGACCCAGCCCTCATCTTTTGTGGGTCTCTAATTTCGATCCAAGCTTTCCTTCTTCATCGATCCACTTTTGAACATAAGCTTGAAAAGCTTGCTTGAGTTTTTTAGCTTGTGATCTTGTGATTAGTCCATTAGGCATTATGATACTCATTCCATGTGACATATGTTTATTTTGAGTTGCGTCCATCCTTGACTCATCTACATGTGGCCCATGTGCATCTTTAATTAAGTCTCAATCTCTGCTCATATGGTCTAAGTCATGATCTCCACCATTGATATGGCCCAAGGTACAATCTTGATCAATTTTAGTGTGAAGCATTTGGTAAAATTTTCAAATCTTTTTAGGTTAAATAAAAGCGTGTTCTAAATGTTGGGATGGACTACATAAGTTTGTTAAGTTTTAGAACAATAATGTTTTGTGAATATGTCCAATAACAAGAAAAGATTATTGGCTAATTTAGGGTGCATTTGAAGTTACCAAATGGATAAACCTAGTTTATTCCTTAAGTAGTTAGAAAGTGAGTTCATGTGGCAATATCATAAGAGTCTCAAAACCGACTAGATATATTGTCATAGAAATCTAAGGGAAATAGCTTCAATAATAAGACTTAAAGACCAAGTTCTTCTTTATTTCTATTAGGATTAGAATGATAATAAGACATATTTAGGAGCAATTTAACAGCTTTAACAAAACATGCATTGCAATTATCTTATATGAATTTAGTTGTATAGGAACCACCTGATTTTTGGTTCATTTACTCCACCTAGATGGTGATTTTTATTATTAATACATGATTAGTGATAATGTTTTCCTCAAAAAATAATATTTTTATTGGACTTGTGATCTTACATAAAAATTTAGGTAAATTCTCTTATTATCAATGTTATTGGATTCTTAAATTGGTTTTGAATTTTAAGATTATTGTACTTGAAGTCAAATACAATTTATTTTGATTGCATCCTCTATATGACTTGTGACTTGAAGGGTTGTAAACTTTTTTTCTTTTAAAAGAATTAGAAGACAATCATTATTTCTCTATTGGATCTGGGTACTCAAGCTATAAAAACATTTGTTGATACTCATAAAACTTTGTAACCTTTAAATATTTCATATTACTTCTTAGGATATAATAAAATTCCTATGTTAGTGATATAAAAATACCACAATAATACTTATAAAGTGATAATGGTCACCTCAATTCAATGATTAGCTTACGCCATTGCCATAATGGAAACTATATGTTTAACAAGCAAATAAACTGTCACACTAAGTATTCATATAAGTTAATTCATTCAATGAATTATACACTCGTTCAATGAATTATATTTCCGAATGAACAACCTATATATTAATATTTTATCAGTTGTTTAAATGATTAAAAATAAATCACATAATTTAGAATTTATAACAATCTGATTTGAATTGTAAACATCTCAAGTTTATAATCCAGTAATCAAAAAAATTTCAGAGATTTGAAAATATAGTTTACCATTCTTGTCCTCTCATTAGAACTAAAATTTATCCTCAGCAATTCTATTCACATTTTATGAAGCAAGAATGAAATATACAATAATTTTTTTAAGAAAAAATAAGAATAACTTCAATGAGATTAGTACAAAAAATACAAACCCTACTATAGTGTATATGACAACATAAAATATATAAAAAAAACATAGTATCTCATAATTTAGATAAAGATACATAAGCATACAAGACACCGTTACAGTAAATCATCATCAAAAAATAAAAATAATAAGATTATCCTGCACTTTAAAAGCATATAATATTTGTTGAAAGAGATGATTCCTATCATCCCAATGTTGGATTCAAAATGCATTCACTAGCAAAGAGTTGTACCCTAGCTTGACTTGTACCCAAGTATCAAGAATCTAAATAGCCAAGATCTAAGATACTTCGTTCTAGTCATCTTGAAGCACACAAATAAAAAATCATAAACATATTGAACAGCTTAGAATAAGAGAAAAATATTCCGTTAATAATAAATGTTTAATGAATAAAAAAAATACTTCAATTAAATAATTGTGCAAATCACATCTTTATGTGATCGTTTTAAGAACATGTTATTGATAAGTATTTTAAATCACTACTAACTACTAAGTAGTCATACATTTTCAAGTTTTTAAGTCTGACTGTATAAATGAGGCATGGCATATCATTGATAACTACTAAACAGTTAACTAAATGATTTTCTTGTTGTATTCTTTGTGGTTATTTGACTTCTAGATAGCGGGGAACATCTTAGAAGTTACTATGGTATTGGGGGCATACGTAGGAATTCTGAAGTTTGCTAATTATTGTAGTTTCTTCTTTGTATTTATGCATTCTACAACGTTAGCCTGAAGTTAACGTTTGTAACTCTAAATTTTGTGGTTGGATATGAATTCAAATTTCTTAACTTATTCAGCGATTTGTTGATATCTATGTCAACAAAATTATCCTACCTGCCAAAACTTATCTTAAATCACATCGAACGTAGGTTTTATAAAGAGTAATTACTTATCTGTTCGTACTCAACTAAAGTTTCAAATAAAGTATAACTAATTACTACCTTCACTTTAATAAGTAGTCGTAGATACGTATGCGAAAGAAGAGCAACTTAAATGCATTTTAGATGTAAATATAAACTACCCTAATAAAGATTTAAAATGTAGGAACAAGAACAATATCAAAAGAGTGAATCATGGTAAGAGTCAAAACTAATATCTCAATCTTAAAATAAGACCCAAATATCTAGAGGCCAAAAATGGCTTTCACTGTAACTTGTACTATATATATATGGGGGAGTTAGATTTTGTGAAAGAGAAGAAGGGGGAGCTTCAATGATCTTCTGCTATTAATTGCAGTAAATTAAATAACCCTTTTGATAATTAAATTTACCAACAAACCCTATTTAACTTCTCCACCTACCAAATTCACATTCCTCCTCATCCACAGTAATAAATTCAATTTTTGGTGTCCCACAGCAGTAATAATTTAACTTCAATTGGCCATCAGCAATAATTATTTTCCTCTTGGCAAGAATAGTACTGCAACAACAAAGTAAATGGTCTCGGTAATTGATCTATTTGGCCCTTTCTTCATAACTCCATTTCCTTCTGATATTTCAAACCAAAAGAAGAAGACAAAGTCAAAGGTACAAATACAAACATATTATGCATATACACACACTTATACATATAATATACGTATTGAAATGTCAAACGAATTGTTCTTATGTAATGTTAATGATAATTGACATTTCCTTCATTACCCACCAACATCATATACTTATCCCTCCTTGTAAGACTAGTGCACTCAAATCCCAAAGCATCAGCCAGCTGTTTCTGTAAAAGATTGGCCACTTCAAAGCTACATCTTCCTCCAGCGCACGTCTCTTCTACCTTTAACTTACTCAGAATCTGAATATGGTAACTGGGTCTGGGGTTCATCAGAAAAAATATTGGATCCAGACATTTCAACCCACTAGCTGTTGTCCCGTAAAACATGCTTACATGTGCGTTCATGGCTACTGGCACTATCTCATCTGCTAACTCTGCAAACAAAGAGCTGAATCTCAACAAGTATGGCTCTCTACATGTGGTTCCTTCTGGACATACGACCAGATCTCCTTCAGCTAATAATCTCTGCATGGTTTCCCCATCTTTGGTTCTGTCTCTTTTGAGTCTTACAGTTTTGATGGGAGCTATGAGTTCAGACATTTTGCTGAGACTGTAAGTGACTGCTGTTAAGGGTTTTGCCAGTGCTGTGCTGAGGAAGACTGGGTCAAGGAGAGTCCTGTGGGAGCATACGTAAAGAACTCCTTTTTTATGGGTGGCCATTGAGGGAGGAATCTGGCCTTTTACTTTTAGGTCTACACCACTCCATGTACCCAACAAGAGGCCTAACTTGTAAGGAAGAAGAATGCCTGAAGAGAGTCTGAAAATGCTTAGGATTATTCCAAGTGGAAGCCACATGAACATGGCAAGAGTTGCAGAGGGAGTGGGGAAGAAAGCTAGTCTTCCATCATGGAATATTAGAGGTTTTGGATATCTGTTTCTTGGCATCTTTAACCCAAGTTCATCCTTGGATATCACATAACCTTCCTGCACTCATGCATATACACACACACAGTCGGAAACAAATTATTAGTTTATTTCTCTTCATTATTAATTTTCTATTTATAGCAATCTCTGTAAATATTTTGACTGTAGCAAATTGAGGAAAGAAAGGATCCGTCAGCAGGGAACTGAATACTTTAAAAATGGAAATGTTTCAGGTTTTCCAAATACATAATATATATATATATATAGAAATATAAATACCTTGCAGAGGGAGATGAAGAGATGGTCACGAAGACTTGAGCTTCCAAGGCCAATATCTGGTTTCTTCTCTCCAAAATATTCTTTAAGAGCTCTATGCTTGACAAGCAGACCAGAGCCCGAAACCAACCCAGTATAGTACTCACCCCGAGTTTGCAATTCAGTCCCAAAAACGCCATTAACGCTCAAATATTCCTTAAGAAAGCCTTCAACCATAACTCTGGGTATGCTGGTGAAGATAACTTTAAACCCAGTTGAAGATAAAACTTCATAGGCATGAAGATTGAGATTCTCAAGATAAAACTTGGGAAGAACAGCTCTGCTGACATTCTTCATATCCTTAATCTTAAGCCCACAAAAGGAGATGAATATCATGAGTTTCAAACCAAGTTCATAGTCCAAAACCCACAAAATGGGAGAAGACAATAACAGAAGAAACGCTCTGAAAATGCTACCACCCTCGAAAGCAACTAGCATGAAGTAAGGGAAGAAAGAGTAGTAAGAAGTCAATAAACCGCCATGGATGTCACAGACCATCGTGTCAAACTCTCTACCCTTTAAATCAATCTGGGTCAAACTAGGAAAGAAAGAAACAGAAGTCTGCTGCTGTTGCTGCTGCTGCTGCTGCTGCTGCTGCTGGGATGGTGAGGTGAGAGTTGGGTTTGTGAAGAAGAATGTAGAGTACTTTCTCATCTTCCTGGCAGCTCTGTAACATGAGTTGGCTAGGAGCTGGTAGACCAACCAGTCTGCTAGCTTGAGGAGAACCATGGGGAACACCATCCCTTCTTCTAATTTGAATGGAAGATAATACAATATAATCAGGGTGAGATAAAAATCAAGAGGTAGAGGGGGGAGATTCTTGGCTTTTGGTTTGTGAAGAAGAGGAAGAGATACAGATAATATTTATAGGAGAAATGTGAATTACGAAGATGGAAGGATTGACCACTTCATTTGGTTACCCACACCGCTGGCATTAATTGCGGTATCAACCCATTTTTTTTGTTTATGTTTGAATGAGTAAGATCATACCATCTTAACCTTTAGCTTA